CTCACTTTGCCTAAGGTGAGACCACATGTGTCACATGTGCTTTGTTGTGGGGCAGGACTCAAGTCCTAGAAATTCTCAGGAGTCAAGCTGCCAAACACGGTCACCCATCCAAGGACTCTCCGAGCTCGACGCTGCTTAACTTCACTGATTTTGTGACCTGAGCTTTAAGCACAGGGACCACGCGCCACGCGCCACCAAGTAGTCAGTGATGGACATGTCGAGTGTGAAAACCTCGTAAAGTTCAGGTGAAATGATGGTGGTTTAGACAAGTTCAATGGGACTGTAGCGTCTAGTGCAGCGAGATGTATATTAGATGAGTTTCTTGATCTTAATGTATTCCTGATATCAATGGCGCCGCCGAGAAACTTGTTGAGTTTCTCCACTATGTGGGAAATCACTTTCAATGTCGTGATGCTCAGTTCCCGAGATCAAAGAATATTCAACCTAAATGGTTTGATGAACAGTTCTCAAATACGTTTTACTGGCTTAATATGTTCCGTAAATGCAGAGCAAATTAAAACCTAAACAGATACAATGAAGCAAGGAGACACTTTCGCCTCTTATGCACAACTAAAAGTAGAATGCTTAACAGTGATATTGCTGATGAGATTCAAAGTGCAGCTATGAAGAAGTAAGGTTGTTACGACGTAAATTGTAATAAAGTCGTAACACGGGTGTCGCAGACGGTGGTTGGGGTCGGGCTGGGAGATAGATATATCATCTAAGATAAGAATGATAATTCTTTAGGGGGATTAAACTAAGGAAGTAAACGGCATGTGATAACAATTTACAAATAATGCCCAGTCCTGTCGATCTTCGGGTGGTCATGCCACCTATATATTTTGAGACATTTAATACGATGGTTGATTTAACCTTTTCTATGGGTATCGTGCTCTTTAACAAATCTCAACATAAACTTTATGAAAGAAAGACACGTTAGATGTTAATCAATAGATGAGACATATTCAGCGCACAAGAAAAAGCATAAAATATCTTTGAGATGACCCCTCTTGCCTGTAGGCAGCACATTACATTTAATGCCAGGTGAGTCGACGGTCCGTTGTCATACTTGGATGAGCGACCTAATTGCCATCTGTAGTCTGATCTATTGTTTTCAGCAGCTATTCGGGTTTTTTCTACGTTTTGCGCAATTTTAGGAGTCAACATGCTTTTCTGGATATCCTATTATGCATTATATGTATTAAAAGTTACTAATGATTAAAATGTATTGCATACAATGGACAATTTCTGACAGTAAAAGCTGGTACCACATCTACCAAGTACAATATACAATATGTTTTGTAAATGGATAAAGTTTTTATAATTGGTAGTTCATATTATCAACTTAGATTGTTAGTGGCTGTACCCTCAAAGGGGTTGAAGTAGCGTAAAATTACTGTCCTCCTGAGAGGGTACATAAGTCCCAAAACTTTCAGGTACCAAGTTTTTAAACGTATCTATTTTTGTTCTTCTAAATTTCAGCTATATTATCATACAATCGCCAGCGGCTGAAGGGATGGCGTAAATCCAGCTAGGCTCCATGCAGATAGCAAAAGTAATGTAAGTCCCCATGGTCCCTAGTATGGTGATCTACCTTCAGTTGTTGGCGATCTATAGCCCGTGTTTTATATTGTATTGTCTTCTTTAATTGGAATGTTTTAGCTTTGCTCGCTAGTTTTATATTCATATCTGTGATTTTCTAGTATTTTTACTGTCCATCGTCGACAGATTTTAAGTTTCAAAATGTTTTCACTTTTTATGTGATATGGCCGAGATATTGCCGATGTGACGTTTCATATTAACTCACTGACTTAACTCACTACAATATACAATTTACGACAGTAAATGGTATCACGCTGCCAAAGTTGTACTTTACAACTAATCAGTTAACGGTGGAAAAGCAAGATTTTATGAGCACTTCCTTCAGAAGTATGCAGGTGTAATAGACCTTGCCAATAAGTTCTTATCTCCCCTGCTTTATTATTATACCCCCTTGAGAACTCTTTCGCAAGAAGAGATAGAACGGCGCTTGACGTTCACTTCCGAGATGTTTTTTCGAAAATGAACGGAACGAACACGAAACAGCGACATTACTGCACCGTCTGTCTCAACTATGGAGGAAAGGAGATAGAAAGGACGGGTAGTGACACTACATAGATTTCCAGCAAATGAATTATTGAAGAAAGCTTGGATTCGGCGGCTCAAATTGGTGAAAAAATTACAAAACACAAGACCACCCAACGTCAATTAGTGGATGAGTTTTTCTTAGTTCTCATGAGGCTTAGACTGGGACTATTACTGGAGGATTTGGCAGATAGATTTTGCATTTCAAAATCAACATGCAGTATCATTTTTGACAAGTGGATAGACTATTTAAGTATAAAACTGTCTTCTTTGACAGTATGGCCGTCAAAAACATTAAGAAAACAATGCCAAAGAAATTTAGAAAATACCCTGATGCCCGAGTTATCATTGACTGTACAGAAATATTTACCGAAACACCACAGTCCCTGACAAATAGGGACCCTCCTTTACTCAATTATAAGTCGCATATGACTTACAAATCGTTGATTGGTATTAGTCCTGCTGGGGGTAATAACGTTTGTATCTGACCTTTGGTGGGCGGTACCAGTGATAAACAGATTACCAAATTGTGTGGTTTGCTACATCTGTGTGAACCTGGGGATTCCATAATGGCTGATAAAGGATTTCCCTTTTCTGATCTGACTACTCCCTTAGGGTGAAATTACACATCCACCTTTTAAGACAAAAGGTTTTTACGAAGAGAAGTGGAAGAAACAAGACGCATTGCAAATTTAAGAATTTACGTTGAAATGGCAATTAAACGTGTGAAGAATTTCAGGATTGTACAGGGGGTCATTCCAATTACTTTGGCAAAGAAAGTCACAAAAATTTGGAAAGTGTGTGTTCACTTGACAAACCTTCAGCCTCCACTTGTTGGCAAGAAGTAATAATACTGAGAAATTTGCACTGTTGAGCTGTGTGCTTTGTATTTCCAAATCCAGCGCAAATAGTGTGGTCCTGTGTATATAACTGAGGTCACAAATCAGTTGAAGTTAATCAAGGTTAAGTGCAGAGTCCTTGGATGAATGATGGTGTTTGGAAGTTGAGTCCTGAGAGTTTCTATGACATTAGTCCTTCCCCACAAAGAAGCACCTGTGGCACATGTGGTCTCACCTTATGGAAGTGAGTTTGTTCAAAATTGCCTCTGTTAACCCAGCAAAAAATGGGTACCCGGTGGTGAGATAAGTCATGTGACTATTAACCTTCTAGCGCCTCACAGGCAGCTTGGGTTATCTGGGGCAATGTAATAAGCAGATTCACATTACAGCGCCCAGTGAGCAACTAGTGAGATGGATACTAGGTGCTATGTAAATGAGTTATTATTATTATTATTATTAAGGTATATCACCCAAACTCAACCATCAGCTGTCTGATTCAGACCATAACATGTGGTCCAAAGGAATTCTAATTTAAACACTGGAATATTAGTTTGCATCTATAATCATGATTATGTAACTAGTCCGGTTCATGTTATTCTTACCAATGTCTCCTGGTTAAACTATTCAATCATACTATGTGATTAACGTATTGGTGCAAATAAAACTGACTTTTACATTTTTCAACAGCATTTCAGTTATCTCTGATTTGACATTTACGACAGGACACACCTGGTACTATGTGAAAATTGAGAGCTCTGGCTTATACCGATGAATTATGGGCTGCTTTTAGCATTGCACCCTTCCCTCACTTACTTACTGTATTAGGACAGAACTTTTCTGTTGTAAACGTTTCATGCACCCATAGGTCTTGTGTGTGCCTTTCTGCTTTTATCAGGTCGGACTTCCATCTAATTAATAATAGTAATAATAGCTCAGTCAGTCACTGAGACACTTGAACATACATATATAACTCACTCACACACTGACCTAAGACACATTAAGCTTACTTAGGAAACAAGTTATTTCTTCATCACTTTCAGTGCCAGCATCTGGGAAACAGCATGTACACTGAAGTAACAACCCTTAATTGATTAGGCTTTCCAAGCCAGGGATTGAACAGTTGAATTCTACAACTGTCAATAACTAAAACTAACAGTTGGTAATAGAAATGAAACACAGACTCACTTATAACAGATACGTTTTAATGTCATAAAGCCCTTACTTCAACATTTGTAATGGTAATCATTTCACTGAGTGACATTGCAAGTAATGATATGAAGTATTTCACAAACAAAGACCTGGGGGAAAAGACAGGAAAATGTTTACATTATTATTGAAATGTGAAATAGCTTAAGAACTAAAATTCACATAAGTAGTAAAATTTACATAAAACCACTCAGTGAACGAAACTTTGAATAGTATGTGTTATCAATTCATACATTTTGTCAAGCTTGAATGAAAATGTTTGAAGTGAATAGTCACTATACATGTAGTTTTAAGGAAAGAATCTAAACCAACCACAGTACTCTGGTTTTAACATGATATAATGGACATAGTGTATGTGTACATTTAAAGTCGTTCATGTCCTTACACAGGATGCAAACGCTTTCCTCGTTTCACACGAGTTGTGAAAAGCTCTGGCAGAATGGCTTTAATATAAAAGTCATTGAGTAGAGAGAGGCAGCCCTCCCAGAATCTTGAATCAAAGTGTATTCTTTCCACATGACAATCCTTCAGAGTCCATATGAAAAATCACACCAGTTCATTTGGGATAGAGCCATTTGTCCTTGTATTTGGTAATAGTATGTGTGGCCAACTTTCAATTTAATTTCTCCTTCCTTGAGCGAAGAACAGAATTGAGGATCTTCCGCTGCCTGGTGTACTGTGGAAAGCCGCCACTTGTAAGGACACTTAATTTCAAGAAGTCCAGTTTCATTTCCAATGTGAACAACACCATCAGGACTGGATCCAAGATGAGGAAAGTCCTGATGCACCATGAAACCACATGTAACAACCTTTGCATTCACATCATGTTTCTTCATCAGATTTGCATATTTTCTCCTTGCAGCCGACTCATGAGTACGTCCCCATCTCAGAGCATCATTATCAAATGGTGAATATGCAAAAATGGTCTTTACAGCATTATCAAGGCATGTAGATGTTTTCAGTTTACAGACAAGGCCAAAATTGGAAGAGGTTAATCGCCCTTCCCTTGCTGAGCTCCACATGTTATTGTTGGCTTGTCCACGTGTGTTCTTCTCAATTGTTACACAGTCTTCTTTTGAGATGGACAAGGCACTGAAATACTCTGAAAAATACCTGATACAATCTTCATTTTTCAAATCACAGGTGTCTGCATAGTTGAAATCAACTGAATGGAGGGAGGTACTGATACATGGGATTCCTCAGTCATATTGACAACAGACTCTTGAGTCAGTAACCACCCTGCATGTGGAAAATGTTCACAGAGTTTTGGAGCAAATCTGTCCACATTTATGGGTTTAACCATCGATTTATCAGGAGCATTAGTAGCATCTTGCCTTATAGTTGTTGTCTTTTTATGTTCTATCCACTTGTGTTTTGTGAATGTCATATCTTGTGATTTAACAGGACTCAATTTACGTTTTCGTGGCTGGTTCCATTTGCATTCCTGTGAAGTAGATGCATGTAAGCCCTCAAGTTTCTTTTCTGAGATGTCAACCAAAGCATACAGGACAGCAGCGACATGGTTGCAAGATTCTCCTTCACTGAAACAGATAAATTGTTCACTGAATGTCAAATTGAAAATGTACAAAAAAAACCCTAATTCCATATCAAATGAGGTAAAACAATACACTGTAGGCATACGCTTTACTTGGATACGGTCCCGCACACATAAATGGAACACATCTGTATTACATATGCCGACAACGAACGCTCAAACGTTATTTGGTTATACATTCAAAGTTGAATCAAGTCCAGAACATTCATCACAATCGTATATACACAAGTATAGTTTGTTTTCAGTAAATGGAATTCATACTTTAGATCTGCCAGATAATATGATTATCGGTAATTTATTAGATCTACTTACCCGGCAGTGCAGTTGCAACCAGCAGCATGTACCCGGCCTGTAACCTTTGACAAGGACACCCACACATCATAATCTGGTTTCTGTTTCATATTCTGAGTTGGTATGGAAGGAATCACTTTGGCATTGACATAACAATGAGAACAGTCCGCGGATATGTGGTGATATCGGACTGAATGAACGTGTCTATCTTCATAGTACACTTTAGCTTTCAACTGGCGTTTAGCGTTGTTTGGGTCAGTGTCTAGTGTCCGCTGCTTGCTCAAAACCAAATAATTATACAGATCACTTGAACTAAATGATGGCATAAGCTCAACACTGCTATCCCAGCCATTTTTCAAGCGTAGTGGGTCTGGTAAAAGTTCCCCGAGAGGTGACAGAAACTTCTCAAATCGTCTTTGTCTCACGCTGACCACGTCGTATGTATTGACATCTTCAATCGATCGTTTGCCAAGATCACGTACACCTTTGGCACGCAAAATTAAGTCAGACTTATTCCCTGAAACGTGTTCTCCGTGATTCCGTAAGTAGGTCTTAAGTTCACGCACATTCAGTTTATCAAAATTCAGATTCACGTCTTGAGTTTTCCCGCCTTGTTTCTCTGCTATCGACGCCATTTTGAACTGAAAACATCTCCGGAAGTGTCCTTGATAAAGGGAGATAACACATGGAAGGGGAGATAAGAACTTATTGGAAAGGACTATACATGTGTATCTTCTAATCATCCACCATCCAATTCTGAATTAATTGTCTTATTTTCCCAACTGTTATCTGTAGAATCCTCGGTTATTTTCTATTGCGACGTGATCCCTACACACGAAACCTTCACAACACCTATTTATGACGTCACAACATGGTGGCGCCCATGTGGAGACTTAGCTTAGTGCAGTGCACTGGCACTGAACAATACTATATGGACAGTGTAACTAATACTGCGAGAATTAGAATATAGAGGATACTAAACGACCTTCCATGTAATACCATTTTTATTAAACGAGTTAATGATTGGTATCAAACGCGGGAAAGCGAGTTTGATGCTAAATCTTTCACGAGTTTAATAAAAAATGGTATTTCACAGAAGCGACTTTAGTATTCTGTTTATTACTCTCCAACATAAATTGATAGAAACTGCCTACGTAGTGTGATGAGTCTCAGCTTTCTATGAGTCAAGCAAGGTCTAATGCCATTGTGACAGAGGTATTAGCATTGTGACGTCATAACTGTAAACTATTATGACGTCATACTTCTACCGGTATTACACTAGTTTTATATTGCTGTAAAAATATTACACTGCAGTATCTTCCAGGGGCGAGTAATAAATAGACAAAATATGTCGTAATAGTAAACATTTAGAGAATAACCCACGAGGTACGAGTGATTACGGGGAAATATGTCCCAAGTGAAATTAATGTTCACTGTCCCGAGCTTTAGCGAGGGACTTGAACATTAATTTCACGAGGGACATATTTCCCGTAATCACTCGTACCTCGTGGGTTATTTTTTTATTACCCATTCTGTAATTAAACCGAGAAACCAGTACTTATGAACTCAAAGCCGCACCTCGTTATGTGTTTACAACGTAATCAGCTGATCCGTATTAATGCGCAGAGGAAACCAAACGGCTCACGCCTAATGGAATCGCATACGAACCCCAATATAGTACTGTAGAAAACGGTATGAAAAACAACACAATTCATCAGTTTCCAAATTCGTTTCATGACGATTTTATTAAGATATTAAGACGATTTTGTAAAGATTAAGTTTATTTTAACGAGTACACTCGCATATTTAATATTTAGTCGTAGATCGCAAATGTGTAGCCTAGATGTACTCGTGACAGAAAGTGGGTGGCTGTGGTTGGATACAAAACTGCAAAACTGTCAATTTTTTCAACGTTAAATGATACAACAGTGGAAATCTGCAAGAGAAGAATAAAACGCAGGAATGGTGAACTTTTCTAAGAAGACGGTTCACATTTATTAACGTTTGTCAACATTTTGACTTTGACCTAGTTTTGGCTCTCGTCAGTGTCCTTGTCAGGAACGATAACTCCAACATTAGTCCGAGTCCGAGTCGACAACAGGCAAAATACGCCTTTTCGGTGCAGGTGGTTGGTTGAAAGAAGAATCATTTGAAATAGTGAAGTTGAATACTCAACCGTTAATTGTTTTCATCAGTGATCCCAGTTTAATTCTGCCAACCGGTTGACGTTTAAACCAGGTATTCCTGGTTCGGTACCCCAAACTGGGTGTTTGTTGACAAATAGAATGGATGATCATCATTGGAGAAGTTTAGTGGTCTCAAGGCACGGTACGACTTGTAAACAGCGACTGGACAACACAGATCCCCAGGTTGTGCCCATGCTTTAGGAGCAAGATCGCGAGACTGGTCACCCTGACGGGTTTTTGACTGCCGTTCAATATACTGGAGATATTCTCGGTTCTCTGAATCAACTTTTAGTGTTACATCACCCCATTGCATACGCCTGTGCGGGGTCGCCGATCTCAAGCCAAAATAAACCGTGTTGTTCCACCATAATGTGTTTAAAATGGAATCTGGCGTGCTGGTGCCTAGTTGGCCACGTTCACGGAGTTTCTGTAATTCAGTGTCGGATACAGGATCAGCACGGAATGGTAGGTTTCCCTTTACCTTGTTTTTTAATGACTTGAGTTTTGATTTCAAAACCTCCCTCAGTTTCATGAAATGCATTGACTCGGCTAACACATGTGAGTACCCATTACGCTTCAAATAGCGTTCAACGCTACCCTTTATTCCCCGGAGGGAAGACAGTTCATACTCCGAACCAGTTCATGGGGCAATGTCTTCAAGTTGTCTTGGATCAGTAAGACTCTCGCGAAGAAATCTATAAACAAGATTCATGTCCAATTTTGTCTTTTTCATAGTGTTTCGCATTTTCGCCCGCAGCCAAGAAGTTATCAATGTCATTGTCATAAACAGGAACAAACCTGTCAAAAGTTTTGTTTTCGATTGGGGTAAAAAATCATCTTGTAGCAAGTCATTTATAACACTATAGGGCAGG